GCGCCCCCTGAGTTTAGGGTTTAGGGCTTAAGGGTTAGGGTTTAGGGTTTAGGGTAGACTAGAACTCAGAATTCCGGTAGGGCAGCCCTGGTTCAAAATCCAAACCTAAAGCCTCAAAGCCTAAACGGCTGAGCCCCTAAACCTCTAAAAGTCTGAAAAGCTAAATGCTGAGGCAACACTAAACCCGCAAGATCCGCTTCGTCTGGGGTTGGGAAGATCGCTTTGCGGTTTAATTTGACGGGCGTCGGGTGGTGTTTTCATTTCTTTCACGATACGGTTGATGATATAAATCCTGCATTACCCATAGTAAGGAGTAGGCCAGAATCCCCATATTGTAGCATCCTTAAGGTAATGCAAGATTTATATCATCAACAGGTTGAACCCAAGCGTTGTTACATACTGTTGATGGACAAAATTCTGCATGACCCCAAATATAGTATAGTACCATAGATCCCATAGTTTAGGTATATAGGGTCATGCAGGATTTTGTCCATCAGCCGTATGATGGTGTTCTTATGATGGTTCCGGCGGCCTCATTAAGGAGGGTTTTTAGGAGTCTACGTGTGACTGCTTGGAGGACCCGGGGATCCGTTGGCGTAGCAACAAAGGTTATAAGGCATGCCTTAGCTGCCTTAACTGGGTTTAGGATTTAGGGTTTAGGGTTTAGGGTTTAGGGTTTAGGATTTAGGGTTTAGGGGTTTAGGGTTTAGGGTTTAGGGTTGAACTGGGTTTTGTAGGTAGATATTTTGTACTTAACTTATGGCTCATAACCCTAGATTGGAACGTCCCATGATCCTTTAAGTACTATCGGGCAGTGATTATCCAGGCATGGTCTCTTCTGAAGTTTAGAGTCATGTTGACACGAACTCAAACGTCCTTACGGCTTCCCTGGAGATACCACGGGCTGTTAAACCCTGCAGGGCCTCAAGAAAGTAACTATACTTATATAACCCCAATTAAGGGACTTATAACCTTACTTACTAAGTCCCACGATCCTGTAAGTAAGCAGCCATCCAACCATCACGTCAACTCGTTTAGAGTCTCAGCTGAATCTTGGTTGACCTGCGTTCCTGCTAAATTCCAGACGTGACAGTAATCTTATTACTTTAGCAGTTCTTGGTTTCTATAAGGTTCTCTCAATACTGTATCAATTCTTGATTGTTAACTTTCTGTAACTGTTTGAAGGCGTGATTTCTGATTCGTTTTTTTGTTTTACAGGGTTCTTCCAAAAAAGCCGAGATTTCTGATTCGTTCTTTTGTTTTACAGGGTTCTTCTCCAAAAAGCCCGAGATTTCTGCAGAAGACGCGCGTTTCTGCAGCGCTGCAGGCTGGGTCGTGCATCCGGTATGAGCCTTCTCCTGCGTAGCTGCTCGTCCGGAGCTGAAGGCAACAAAGCTTTAAGGTTCTGGAGTTTTAGGTTTAGGGTTTAGGGTTTAGGGTTTAGGGTTTAGGGTTTAGGCTTTAGGGTTTAGGGTTTAGGGTTTAGGGCCTTGGGGTTTTAGGCGTTAGGTTTTTTTTTTGGCGGTTTTGAGTGTTGCGGGTTGATTTAGGAATCGGGCGGCCAGGGTTTGGGGTTTAGGTCGGGTTCCGGAAAGCCTAGAAACCTTACTAAGAGAACTATGAAAGGAGAGGGAAGGCAACACTCCATAGGCACACCAGAGAACCCTATAACACACCAAGCAGCGCCATGCACGCTGCGTGAACAAGGCTTCATGTAAACCCAACGCCGCCGCAGATCTCAACCGATAAGGCCTTACAATCAACCTTTCACATTCCTACACCCTAAACTTCAAACCCTAAACCCCATCCCTGGTTGCACTTATTGAAAGAAGACATCTCTTGCTGTAGTAGAAGGTTCTTGGAGGAACCTCGAAACCCTAAGCCCTAACTCCCAAAATTCACAAACCCACAAGAAGAAACTCTGAGACTACCCTAAAACTTCAACTCGAACAAAACCCCTCAACCCTAAACCATGAAACACTAGCATGCAAGGACACTTCAACCCCTAAGCCCGAAACCCACAAAGTCCAAAGCCTCAAGCCCTAATAGGGTTTAGGGTTTAGGGTTAACCCGCCTAAACCCTAACACCCAAAACTCTTCCAAAAGGCGAAACCCGAAGCCACAGAAACCCAAAGTCCTAAACCCTGAAACCCAGTCCCATGATCCTTGAAATAACGCCCAACATGCCTAGAAGAAGCTCAAGGACATGATTCGGATTCTTCTTTTTCCTCTTCCGCTCATTTCTATTACTATTGTCATCATCGTTCTTACTGTTATTGTTATTATTATTATTATTATTATTAATTATTATTACTATAAAGTTGACCATCATCATCATCATCCTCATCATCATCATCATCATCATCATCATTACCACTACACCCAAAATCCACCCTAAACCCTAAACCCGAAGCCCAAGGAAAGCCGAGTTCTTGGGACCTGCCGGGCCTTGGCCTCTCCTGTGCCTTGCTGGCGGCCGGGTCTCCGGAGGAGGGTCGGGTTTTGAGGACTCTTTGTTGGGGGCTTTTGGTAGGGTTTTCAAACGGCGGGTTTGGGGGTTTAGGGTTTCGGGGTTTAGAGGTGTAGGGTTTTAGGGTTTAGGGGCTTAGGGGTTCGGGTTTAGTGGTTTCGGGTGTAGGGGTTTAGGGTTTAGGGTGCATTGGGGTTTTTGGGGGTTGAGGATTTTTGGGGCTTGCTTGCAGGGCCTTTGCAGGGCTAAAAACCAAAAAGGTTTGCTAGGGATCTTGCAGGCAGCTCGAAGTCCCTAAACCCGAAACCCTCAACCTTGCTTAGGTTTAGGGTTTAGGGTTTAGGGTTTAGGGTTTATGGTTTAGGGTTTAGGGTTTAGGGAAGTTGCAGCCTTTTTGGGCGCAACTGCTTAAGCCAAGTGGTAAATGCCAGAAACCAAAGCCTTCAGGGTCTTTAGGGGTTTAGGGTGTAGGGTTTAGGGAGGGTTTAGGGTCTTGGGTTTAGGGAGACTTCCGCCCTAAACCCCAAGCCCCGAAGCCTAAAAGAGTGTGTAGTGGTTTTGGGTTTGAGGGTTTCTCTAAACTCTGACCCCTTCAAGCCTCAAAACTAGCAGGGAAACCCTAGAGCCCTTCAACCTAAAACCCCGAAGCCCTGGAGACCGCTGAAACCCCGCAGCCCTGAAGCCCTGAACCCCAAACCTTTCAAGGACCCCTTAGCTGAAAGCAGCTTAAACTTGCAAGCCCATAAACCCTGAGGCCCTAAACCTTCATAAATCCCCGTTGAGCCTGAAATGATGCCTAAAAGGACCCCTCAAAGAACCCTGAACCCTAAACCCTAAACCCTAAACCCCACACCCTAAACCCTAAACCCTAAACCCCTCAAAGAACCCTGAACCCCAAACCAGAGGAGGAGGCCTGTCTTCATGCACGTCGCGAGGGGATTTCCCTGCAAGTTCTCCGTTCTTCCAAAGGCCAAGCATGGCGGGATCTTACCCTAAACCCTAAACCCTAAACCCGAGGTTGTTTTGGGGGGTTTCCATTGTTTTGGGGTTTTAGGGATTTGGGGTTTGGGAGCTTCAGGACCGTGGGGTTTACAGTAGGGTTTTGGTTTGGGGGTTTTAGGGTTAAGCTTCAGGGGTTTAGAGTTTTTAGGTTTTGTTTTTGGGGAGGTTTTCGGGCTGGCTCCACATTGAAGGATCGTTGGACTTGGCAACAAAGACTGTGAGTAAGGCAGCCATACTTTGAATTATCTGACGCCCCAACTCCACCAAAGCCAGTCGCCTGATCCTGAAAGTAGGGCTTCGAGTCTAAGGATTGTTTCGGGCTTGGGGGTGAGGGCTTGGGTGTTTGCGGCAGGGCTTGTACCCTAAACCTTAAACCCTAAACCTAAACCCTGAACCCTAGACCCTACACCTTAAGCCCAAGACCCTGAACCCGAGACCCTAAACCCTAAACCCTGAAACGTAAACCCTAGACCCTCGACCCTATACCCTAAGCCCAAGACCCTGAACCCGAGACCCCTAAACCCTAAACCCTAAACCCTAAACCCCTAAACCCTAAACTCTAAACCCTGAAACCTAAACCCTAGACCCTCGACCCTATACCCTAAGCCCAAGACCCTGAACCCGAGACCCCTAAACCCTAAACCCTAAACCCTAAACCCCTATTGCATTTTTTTTAAAAAATAACCCCTAAACCCTAAACTCTAAACCCTGAAACCTAAACCCTAGACCCTAAACCCTAAAACGGTGCCCAAAAACCCCAAAAAGGTGTTGACAAACCCTAAAAAGGTGTTTAAAACAGCCCTAAACCGAGGCCTAAACCCTAAACCCTAAACCCTAAACCCTAAACCCTAAACCCTAAACCCTAAACCCTAAACCCTAAACCCTAAACCCTAAACCCTAAACCCTAAAGCTTCAGTTTGCTGGGCCCCTTTAGCCGGCGACCCTGGGAAGGGCCCTCGTCCCACTTTTTTGGAGTCCGAGGTCCATGTCTTGAGCCCCCCTAAATCCATAAAATTGAGGGTTTAGGGTTTAGGGCTCAGGGTTTAGGGTTTAGGGTTCAGGGTTTAGGTTTTAGGGTTTAGGGCTGAGGGCCTAAACTCTGAACTCCAAAAATCTAAGCCCTAAGTCATCCTAAACCCTGAACCCCAAGCCCGAAATCCGAAACTCCGCTGGAAGCACCAGCAAGCTGTGCATCCGGAGCCCAACTGCTCCAACAATCCCCACGCCCCCGAGCTTATGCTTTAGGGTTTAGGGGTTTAAGGGTTTAGGACTCAGGGTTTAGGGGTTTAGGGGTTAGAGTTTAGGGTTTAGGGTTTAGGGTTTAGAAGCCACCTGAACCTTCTCGAGCTTCGCAGCCCTCGAACTCTAACTCGAAAAAATCTTAAACCGGAAGCCCCAAATCCCAAACCCAAGTAATCCTTCTTAGCTCTCCTCGGAAGCCCCTGAAGCCCTCAAACCCCTTGAAGCCCCTGCAGTCTAAACCCCCTTGTAGCCTTAAATCTTCCCCGTTTCAAGGCCCTTACACGCGGAATGAATCCTGGAAGTCCCGAACCCCGAAGCCTAAAGGGTTTAGGGTTTAGGGTTTAGGGTTTAGGGTTTAGGGTCTAGGGTTTAGGGTTTAGGGTCTAGGGTTTAGGGTTTAGGGTTTCGGCTTCTGAGCTCTCTTTAGGACATTTTCAGGTGGGTAGTTACCGTTCTAGGAGCCTTATAGAAGGTCTATATGACTTATGGAAGCCTTATTGGAAGCCCTATCTACCCTAAACTCCCCACCTGTAGTTTCCTTTAACCTGAAGCATTCTAGAGCCCTAGAACCCTTCTCCCTAAACCCTAAACCCTAAACCCTAAACCCTAAACCCTACACCCTAAACCCTAAACCCTGAGCTCTCTTTGGAAGGCCTGAGGCATGGGACGCTGAGCCTCATCTCGGCTTCCCTGGAGGGTCGGCCCGAGATGGCTTTGGCAAAGCTGCGTGCGACGATGGCCGAACTGGGCCATCCGATTCGAGGCTCTTGGCTCTGGGTTTAGGGCCGTTTAGGGTTTTAGGTTTTTAGGGTTTAGGGTTTAGGGTTCTTTTGACTGAAGTGTGGGTAGTTCTCTAAACCAGGGTCCCTTTTAGGGTGCTTTGTAAAAGGGTGTGGTAGTGTGGTAGTATATTGGCAACCCAGAAAGCGACACTAGTTTATAGAGAACTACCCTTATAGAGGAGATTGTGTAAGGAGGTGTCCTTTAAAGGGCTCCGTTAAAAAGAGGTGTGTAAGGGTTCTACCAAGGTTTTGGGTGGTTTAGGGTTCAGGGGTCTAGGGGGTGTTTGGGGGTTCAGGCGGGTTTCGGGCTCCTGTGCAGTGCAGATTTCATGGGTTGCTGAAGTTTCGGCCCCGAACCTTTCCTCTCTAAAACCTAAACCCTAGACCCTANNTGAACCCTGAACCCTAAACCCGAGAAGAGGTCCTGGCGGTGGGAAGGCGTGGAACTCTCAGATCACCATCGTGGGTCTGCGCTGTCTCGGCCTCGCTGCCTCCGTGGCGCCCCCGAAGAGACTGCAGGACATCGGGACCACCACTGTTAAGGTTTAGGATTTAGGATTTAGGATTTAGGGTTTAGAGGTTTAGGGTGTACAATGATTTCTATTGTGGATGGAGAAAATCTTGCGCCGCTTAGAACACAAGGAAAGCCGTCTCACTGTGCACCCCTATCTTTATCACTGTGCCATGAAAAGCAATTTTCCGGACTTGGCCTAATGACATAAAACACCACCGCCCCATCAAGACAGGGAGCAATGCTGAGAAGGGAGCGCGGGGTGCTTCGGTGATGGTGATATTCCAAGATCTCCTCCATCCACCGACGGGGTTGAGTATCTTGCAATAAGGACGCTGACCCGCCGGCGATTCATGGATGCTTGTATGGCGTGGTTAGTCCAGGGACTTCACATCTTGAGCCTTTGTTGCAGGGCTGTCGATGAAATTAGCGGATGGCTACAGCTTCTCGAACCGTCAAGCATGCAGGGGTCGACCGTGAGTAGCGTTCAGCAGTTGTCAACAGGAAAGTGAACTGCAACGTTATCTGCGTGTTCGCTGGTTTTGGCATGCATGACCTGAGCAACAGAGATAGTCAGGGGGATGTGCAGGTGGTTACAGAGATGTTGGCAGGAACAGCATTTCGGAGTTGGCAACCAAAGCAAAGCATGAAGACAGCGACTGCCTCACAAAAGCCTGCCAGCAAGTCTAGGGCATCATCGCTAATGACTATGATCATTTACAAAGATATCAGTTTTTGGCTATCGTTGATACTTCCTGTCATTAACCCTAAACCCTAAACCCTAAACCCTAAACCCTATTAGTCTGGACCTCTTTGAAGAGCTGAAGCGCCGAGCCGCAGAGGAAGTAAATCCTGAAGTCTAGAGCAGGGTTTATGGTTTAGGGTTCAGGGTTTAGGGTTTAGGGTTCAGCGTTTAGGGTTTAGGGTTTAGGGGGCCCCGCGAGTGTCTCGAGGACATGATGGACTTGGATGCTCTTCGTTTGGGAAGGTACAGAGGGCACCTAGAAGCTGAGGGCCAGCTCTTTGATTCCGATGGCTCGGGTGCCATGCACTTCTTCGGCATGCGCCTGAAACTGCACAAGGACGTCTTCGTCCCACGGGCGGAGAGTCGCCACTTGGTGGAGGTGGGTGGTTGTCAAAATTATGGTCCCTTTTTGGGTCCTTATCATAATACAGCACCTATTATTTAGGGTACCCCAAAAGGAACCATGATTTTGACAACTACCCAGGTGGTCCTCGAACTCAACCTCTTCCTCCGACCGGAGCTTCGGATTTTGGATGTGACCTTGGGTGTCGGGAACGCCCTTCTGCCCTTGCTTCAGCGGCATCCACGAGCCCAGGGCTTTGGTATCGATATCAGCCCAGAGGCAGTGGCAACCCTAAACCCTAAACCCAAAACCCAAAACCCAAAACCCAAAACCCAAAACCCAAAAACCTAAACCCTAAACCCTAAACCCTAAACCCCAAACCCTAAACCCAAAACCCTAAACCCCAAACCCTAAACCCTAAACCCTAAACCCTAAACCCTAAACCCTGATATCAGCCCTGAGG